TAATTACTGTGGACCAGTATTTGTCAACATGCAGTGAGACTTAGTTCTATATGATGATCCTTAACCTGAATTATTGCAAATCTCCAGTAACTGTCTCCGTCATCATCAGATGAGTGGAGTTAAGACTTTTATTCGATCGTGTTAATGACCTTCCATTTTTCAAACATCCAGTCTGGGCACGTATCATCTGAGCTCAGGGTCACTCTGACCTCCCCTCAGTCTCTTTCTCAAGCCACTTTTCCTGCAGCCTGCACTATCTCTCAGGGGAGGATCGTTCATCATGGCTGTCTAAACAGCCTGGTCACCCTGTGATTAGTGACTCTTTCAGGTCAAACATGTCGGTGGCACGCAGTAATTCAAAAAGCTGCATCTGTGAGTGCACAGACATGGGGAGGGTCGTGCATGCTTTAAACACTGTACATCATCCTGTAAGCAGCAGGCCGTCAAACCAGGGTCTCCAGTGTATTCCCCCATTTCTCAGGCACCAGGTAGAAACTCATCGGTTCACTTCCACCTCCGACTGGTTTTGTGGAAATCAGAACTGTGACTGACACTGTAGAAAAGTCGTCTGCTGGAGAACTCATCCGATCGAAGGTTTCCTCAGAGGGGGAGAGGGATGCTAATGGGAGTAACAGGTGTGTGTGTGTGTGTGTGTGTGTGTGTGTGTGGCTTGTGAATATCATAATTGAACATTTTCTTTCTTTAGTATAAGGCACCAGACTCATTAACATATTTATTATTATTCAAGATTTATGACTATGGGGAACTGGGGCACACATACACACACACACCAAAACCTGTCAGCGTCACTGATTAGCCACATGTGTTTAGTCGGTGTCTTTGTTTTTATTCAGATTTTAAAGACATTTGAACAAATGTGACTAATCTAACTACAGTATTAAAACATCTGTAAATTGAGGCTTGAGTCCTCCTGCTATCTAAGTATACGTTGTGTGAAGAGCTTTTTTTATATACAGTCTATGGTGCAGAGTGGAGTTAGAACAATTTGCATTCATCCAACCTGGTTTATCCACAATGAAGCCGCTGTACGTGCGTCCATGATCAACCAGAATTTTCTGCGCCACTTTTATAGTGATAATTAAGATGTTGTGTTCAAAATGATTTCATGAAATTCTTTAAATCCAAAAAACACTGGGATATTTATCAATGGGAGAAATGCATTAGGTATTTATCACATCACTCTTCTCATTGTGCCATTTGATTGTTGATTTATAGAGTTAATTAAATAGCAAATGAAGTTGGCTTCCATCCATCCACTCATTATCTATCTTATATTTTGAAGGTTGCAGGGTCCCAGCTGACATTGGTCACGAGGTTGGACACGTCACCAGGGTATCACACTGCCGACCTACAGAGACAAATAACCCTTTACATGTACATTCACACCCACGCTCCTGGAGAAAAACCCACACAGACACAAGGACAACATGAAAACTCCACATAGACAGAGTTTATTGCATCAATATATCTGTCCAGAGATGTATTGAGAGTATCAACTGTTGCCTACGTGTTTATAAAAGTAGAGATTTGGTATTTGACGTTTGTTTGGTGAATAAAATCACCATCAGCAACTTATATTTCCTATAAAGTACAACCTTATT